CAGTAAATAAAGAAGTAGAGCAAACAATTCTCTTCTAGTTACGACCTTTGTGCTCAGTTGCTAAGCCTTTAAAAATTTTGCACGTGGAGGATATGAAACAAAATATTTTTTTAGGTTTTTTATATATATATATACTTTTGAATAGCTAAAAAATCATAAATTACTACATCAATACCATAGAATTCTACAATAATTTATCAAGCTTAGTAATTAAGCTGTATTTTGGTCTAAAAAAATATGAAAATTTGAGCAGACTAAAGAGACAACCGACCTCTTTAAAATCTTCATTCAAAAGAAAGAAATGGCACTAGGTATGTTTGAAAGGCTGAGAAAACCACTCGGGTGACATTCTGAGTTTCCGATTGGTTATTCATGTCATATATAGAAGTAAGTGTATATAAGGGAGCATTTCCAGAAATGGAAAGAGGTGAGTGTGGTGCCACTGTGTTTGATTTATTATGTGAGCAATATCTTAGCAAATAGAAAAGATAAGACGTTCTTATTTTATATTCTAACTTGTCAATATCGGTAATTTGAGTTTCTAATTTGTACGAAACTATAGACTTAGTATTTTGACTTCATAAAAATCTAATTTGAACCAGTGCTGCATTCAACAAACCATGTGACACACAAAAGTCAATGTTTATCTGTGTTTTTTAATATTTACTTATAAATTAACAAATTGAGTAATGCATAGTTCTAAAATTTGTATTATAATCTTCAGTTTAATACCAAACTTATTGACATAAATTCATGAAATAGTTCAAGAAAATTTTGAATGTGAGTCGACAAACGAGATGATATGGCCTTTCACCTGTGACCTGCCTCGAAAGGGTTAATTCAATAATAATAAATGATTTAGTGCAGAAGTACCATTAGTTTAAAAAAATAGGATTAAGTATAGTCAAAAATCGAGGGAATAAAAAAAAATACCAGGTAAGTACTTTATTTCTTGTTTTTCATGTGTATTCTTTATTTATTATTATAAAAATATCTAAAATGTAAAAATTGGAAACTTTTTGAGTAAAATAAATAATAATAGTATTTCACGAGTTACACTCACGAGCAGTCCGTGAATTGTGTAATTCGATACTGTAACATGAGATGCACGTTTGCCACGTAGTTTGCAACTTATAAGGCACAAATATTAGTTAGACATGGAATAAAGGGCAATAAAACAATAAAATTTAGTAAAAACTGATGTATCTTGTTATGAATTTAAGGGTATTTAGGATAAACAGATGTAGTTTTGTGTTAAAATTTGAAGTAATTTTAGAAAGAAAAAAGTAATTTAAGATTTAATTTGATTTTTTTGTGGTTACGAAATCAGTCAAATTGACCAACCTTGTATGGAGTTAGGATACAGAAAATAGCAGACGAAATACAAAGTTTTGCTGAAAAAACATGTTTGCAATTTATTTATGAGGAGTTAGTGATGATGCAAATGAAATTGAGATTTTTGAAACGAAGAAAAGTATTTTTAAACTTAACATGAAAATCACTTTACACTAAGATCAGTCAAAAAAAAAAGACTACATATTCATGGAAAAATTTTATTAAAAATACTTCATTAAAAAGTCTGCAAAGTTTAGTGAGGATGCACGTAATGTATTAAAAATTATAGTATGGTAATGCTAATGAGTACAAAATCATTGAGGTCAGTCAATTCGACTGACCCCATGGCCTTCTCTCTAGTCTATCAGTTTAAAATTAGGGATGGCTACCATAGACAATCCTTGTGTTGCTTTGTGCAAATATTCAAAATCAAACCATCAGTTTAAAAGTAGGGATAGCTGCCATAGATAATCCTTGTGTTGCTTTGTACAAATATTTAAAACCAAACCATCAGTTTAAAATTGGGGATGGCTACCATAGATAATCCTTGTGTTGCTTTGTGTCAATATTCAAAATCAAACCATCAGTTTAAAATTAGGGATGGCTACCATAGATAATTCTTGTGTTGCTTTGTGTCAATATTCAAAATCAAACCATCAGTTTAAAATTAGGGATGGCTACCATAGATAATTCTTGTGTTGCTTTGTGTCAATATTCAAAATCAAACCATCAGTTTAAAATTAGGGATGGCTACCATAGATATTCCTTGTGTTGCTTTGTGCAAATATTTAAAACCAAACCATCAGTTTAGAATTAGGGATGGCTACCATAGATAATTCTTTTGTTGCTTTGTGCAAATATTCAAAATCAAACCATCAGTTTAAAATTAGGGATGGCTACCATAGATATTCCTTGTGTTGCTTTGTGCAAATATTCAAAACCTAACCCTTAACTAGCTGTGAAACTAGACTTTCTCTGATGTTTCATGTCTTTTTGTTGATAATCCATTCAACACAAGTAGTTTAACTTTGTGAGGAATAAAAATATTGCCTAAATTGAAGTTAAATGTCAAATAAAAAAATTCAAGTGAAACCAATCCTAATCTTTACATCTTACAACAAGAAAAATAAAATATTTGCACTTAACATTAATGGAAAAGAAATTGAAGCTTTCAACTACCTGAGTAAATCTATTTTCTTATATATATATATGATTAGTGATAATTAGTATTGGTATTTTCATCCAAAAATAATTCATTTCCAGAATGTGTCATAAGAAAGTTCACAAGTTCATACATCTTTATTTTGTAGTCATTGTGCAGAAGAATTAATTTTAAACATAATAGAAAGAATTGTATTTTAAATGTAGCTCTTTAGTAGAATTAGCTTAGCACTGATAATTATGGTAATTTGAAATATTTAAATGAAGCATTGATTATGTTTTTGTTTTTTTTATGTTATGTAGATTGAAGCTTGGACTGGTCCTTCAGATGAAAAGCCAGTTAAAATGCAGAGGGTTGCCCCCAGCCCCATTGATCCCTTAGCTAAACAGGAAACAGTTATGGGTGGACTTGAAAAATACACACAATACAACATAACTGTATTGTGTTTCACTAGTGCAGGAAATGGACCCAGAAGTGCTTCTGTACAAGTTACCACAGAGCAAGACAGTAAGTTGATTTTCACTAGTATAAAAAAATTGACTTCTATTGTTTTTTTCTATCAAATTTAATTTTTTCTTTGGTTTTGGAAACAGATCTGTAGTGAGTACAGCAGTTTATTCAAATGTTGTATTATTTGTTGTTGATCAGTGATGTAAATTTGCATTTGTCACTGACTTTGTACCTTCAAAACTGTATTTTAAGGAATATCTTTATATAAATAATATTTTTTTTTGTATTATGTGTATTTTAGGTTCATTAAATAAGTAAGTTATGATGCGTTTGTTTTAAGTTCATTTTTTGTAAAAAGTTCTAGCAAGATAATCTCACACACTTACAAAATTAAGAAGGTTTAAACACCTTTGGGTTCCTTTCAGTCCTTTGATGCCCAACAGGGTGTACCTGAGGACAGAATTGTAACATCAGTGTGCATGCACTGCATCACTGCAACTTCTGTAATGTTAGCCAGGCATGGCTGAAAGGTCAATATAATAAAAATAATAAATATATATAGATGTATGACATCTATTTGTGTTGTAATTTGTAGTCATTTTAGAATGAAAAAGCATAATTTATATTTATTTGTTAATTTTTATGGTGGTTACGAAGTCTGTCAAATATACCAAACCCGTACAAACTTATAACAAATAAAGTTATAACAAACACAAAATGATTACAAGGTTGGCCCCTGGGACTGAGTCCATGCTGAGAGAGTTAAATAAAACCTTTTGGTTAACAATTAAATGTGGTTGCTTATAACTTTGGTATGATTCAAAAGTTATTTGTATATGAGTAATTGAAACCAAAGTGAAATTGTGTGTACTGTTTTTTTGAATCACAAAAAAAGCAATATTTACATTTTTATAAAATTAAAACTGTTAGAAAGATTTACAAGAACAAAGAAAGACATAACAATCAGTAACTGAAATCTGCAACAAAGATAAGCATTTTTAATGGCTTTCATAAAAAAAGAATTTTAAAAAAAACTTTTCAAATTTCCAAAGCTCAAATTTCATACAAATATATAAAAATAAGATACTTTATTTTGCAAAAGCTACATAATCTGTAGAAAGTTCATGTGTCAATTTTATCTAGTATGTTTTTTCTATTTGTAATACTGTAAAATGGTTAAGTAAAGGTTTATCATCTTTCTTTCAGTGTTTTGGTTCTTTTCATCAGTTAACGTTTTTTGTCATCTATTTTGTATTATTTGTTTAAGTTTTAACATTAATTTGGTAATTTAGTTCCAGAAATCATTGGAAGCCTAAAATTTGAAGACATCCTTGACAGCTCTGTACGTGTCATCTGGACACCTCCAAAACGTAACAACGGAATATTAGAAGGTAAAGTTTCATGTCAGAATTTATGTGTTTGTGTTCCATTAACAACATGCACCTACAGAATGGGTGGAAAATGCTCCATATGAGTAATATGTGAAGTGTATTTAGAATCTTAGAAATTTGTCTCGTTTAATTAAAATATTTTAAACTGTTTTATTTACAGTAAATTAATGTACAGAACCATTATTTGTTTCAATTTATAATACATTTTTAAAGGTTATTATAAGTATTTTTAGTTGACCTATCATGACAACAATAAACCAAACTAAGTTTTTATTTCATAACAAAGAATATGCTATAAACTCTAAACACTTGACATTTTGAGGTTTGCTTCTGAGAGTATTACATCGATTCAGCACTAATGGGCATTAATTACACTATAGTTTTTTGCTGAAGAGGTTTTATTATTTTTCTATGCTTGGTCCATCTTCTCAGCAAATTTTGTTGGTTTTTTAACTGCTTTATTTGGTGTAACTACCTTGGCAACTTCAAGTAATATATAAACATTCATTTTTCACCAAAGTATCTAATTAAAAGTTTTGTTAAAATATTAAATGTTTACAATCGGTCATACCATTGATTCAGTTCATTTACGTGACAGGTTTATTTATGCAGGATTGTGTGCATAACTGCTTTATAACCTGCTTGTTAAGACTGCTTTATGACAAACAATTAAATTGCTAAACTTGCTAATAATTATGGTAGTTTGGAATAGCCTCTTTTCCTGTGTAAATAACACAGTAGCTTGTTTTTTTGGTTTTCCTTATTTTATATTTCTTTTTGAACAGTTAATATTGGTTAATATCTCACTTTGTTATTAAAAGTCAATATGGTACCCTCTCAGGTCATTTGATGTCTGGAGATAGTATAGTAACCACGGGACATTATCACTTCACTATCAGCTGGAAAAATAGCATTTCCAGTAATTAAACAGAAATCTTCTGTAGTAGAAAGACAGATAGGATATTAAAACTCTGCTATGGCCTGGCTAGTCACTGGCCATGAAACCTAATAAGTATGTGTTGGCTATCTCCCAGAATTGCTAATTTTGTCCACACAATGTATGAGCACATTGTCCCCTGCAAAAGGCAAAGGGCTTCTATAAAGATTATTAACCTCCAATAATATTTTGCCAGTGCTATGTATAGTTCCAGACTAATCTGATGTTATTCCAAACTTGGGTCCTCTTATGGATTTTCATTATATGGGGCAAAGTGGCTTCATGCTTTGGACTCGTAGTCAGATGGTTGAGAGCTCAAGGCTTACTTGCATCATATTCTTGTATCCTAGAGTATGACACATTACTCCAATTATTTCAGTCTACCCAGCTGTTACCTAAGATGGACTGGCATCCCATCCAAGGTGAATGTATTCCATTTTCCTTGCTTGTACCAATTAAGCTGGAATTCAGCACTGGATCCTAAGTGCTTTCTAGGCATGGGTAGGATTTGACTTTGACACTACAATTAGCATTATTCTAATACAATTATGCTCCTACAGGAGATTATAACACTTACTTACTAATACAGGTGTAATCTGACTCTTAAAATTTGTTTTCATAACAATATTGTAACTATATATCTAAAGAAAATATAACTGCTATGAATTTTTTTTAATCTAAAGGAAAAATAGCATAACCTATCATCCTTCAATGATTTTTATTTAGTTTCATATAACTAGGCTAAAAACTAATAGAAAAAAAGGTGGATATCACAGAATGTATCGGAGGAATTGATTTGACACATTAATGGAATTATGAGACTATCTTGTTATTTTCTTTATTTAATTATTAAAATACTGTGACATTGCAGAAAAAAATTTTCACACTTGCATGCATTGTTACATATGTTGCACACAGTGTTCAGATAAGTGACCTCAGACTGCATTGACTTTATTTTCTTGCCTGTCACACAGTGTCAAAGGTAATTCCTTCTTGGCATTGCTGGACTTTTTTTTTTATTTGAAGATTGTTGCTCAAAAATTCTTTACACTTGTATTAGCTCAGTTTTCAGTTGTATAGATGTTTTAAAATAGCTGAGTACTCTGACTTTATTTTTTTGTTCATGGGAATAGTCAGGTAATGAGGGTGACAAACACACACTGCTAAGTTTGATTCTGTTCAGGTGTTTTGTCCGGATTTGTACCTAGCACACATTTCCAACCACGCTTTCATCTTGTCTTCTAATTGAGTTGTAATTTATTGTTTTGTGTTTTCTACAAACAAATGAAAATGTCTTTATTTTGCTGTGAAACTTACATTCAGTCTCTTTCCCCAATTCAGTCAGATCAGAATCCAGGATACATTTTCTGTCTAACTACCCGTGAGAGCAATTATTTTGTTTACCTGAAAATATTGCTACACAATTAATTAAAATACCAATTTTAGAAAATATAATTTATTGCTCACCTGTGATTATCATAGTAATTTTTTTTATTTCAGGAACATCTACCTATTTATAACTAGCTGCAGATATCAATTTTATGTTTTAGATATGGGATGTTGTTGGCTTGAGCACTTACTTTTAGCCATTTTATATGTATTCTCACATTGTGTTGTTGATTACTTCTTAGGTTTCTTTTGTATTATAATACATTGTGCTACTATGTTCTTGAAACTTAGTTTTATTTGTCTTCCCTGTATGTAGATTACTTTTCTGTATGATCTAGTTTATATGAAATGTATATTTGGATACCCATTCAACACACTGGGAAAGCATATAGGTCTGGGGAGTGATATATGGGGTGTCAGATCTAAATCCTAACCCTCCTGTGTCACTCCATGGTATGCCCTAACAAGTCAGTTGAATAGTATGGGAAACACATAGAAACCAAGAAGGGGTGACATATGGATCAGATCTGAATGCTGACTTCCTATATCTGTCACAGGGTGTTCTAAGAGTACACATGAAGTTTGCTGAAATCAGTCAGAATTATAGCCATGAAACATGGACACACAAAACGAACTGAATATGGCCTGCCTACTCTAAAAACCTGATTGGTAAATAACTTGAGTAAAATTGATAATAATTGCAATTCACTTACTTATTTCATACCGTAACAGTCACTGTTCGTGCAGTAGATGATATATCACTTATATGATATATTACTTATAAGTAATGCCTATACCATACTATGAAGATACAATTTTTATTGGAATTAAGTTTTAGTAATGAGAAATTATCACTTTTCCAGTTTGATTTGATATTCATGAATAAGCCTGATTATGATTGTTAATTATTTCTATTAAATCATTTTTATGAAAAACATGGGAAAAGACAGAAACAGTGAACAAAGTAATTGATTAATTGGTGCCCATTAATAAAATAGATTATATGAGATTTCATATAGGAAAGAACGGAGATTGGTCTATTAATTTAAAAAAAAAGTAATTTATTGTTTGTTCTAGTTGACTCCTTCAAATAAGCATTATAAGTACAGAACAGTTTTTGTGTGCATGTTCAGTAGATATTTTAATGATCACTCACCTTGTGTTACTAACTGAGAAGTTTTTATTTCTGTTTGTATAAAGGGGTTTACTGACTACAATAGGCTTGTGAATGTATTGTTATGTTGTTTCTATCAAACAACACATAGCAAGCCACTTGAGATTCATTCTGTGAACTGTATTTTGAACTGGGGAGTGTGTCTTTGTTCTTGCATTGCTTCAAGGCTCCCCCAGAACTACAAATCCCGTAGTAGCTCGGCATGCAAGTACCATAGGATGAGTTTGACGTTTATATTTGGAGGGCAAAGGGCTTAATATATCTATCCTTAAGTATTTATTGATTGTCAATTTTACTTAAATTACAATATATGTGAAAATAAATCCACAAACAGCATCAGTTTTTATGTTCTGATTTTATTATAATGTATGTATAAGTAATTGTGTAAATTCAATTTGAATGTTTATTTTAATAATCAAAAATGTAAATTAATTACTTATCACTATTATGATTTATTTTGAAATAATTAACTGTGGCACTAGCATTGTGAGTGGAATAACAATTTTTATATAATATCATACTTCCTACATGCATTAGCAGTCATAAACTGTATACTCATTATATTTATACATATTTAAAAAGCATCTTAGCAATGAGCATTAATTCGTTTGTGTGGATGAGGTTCGTATATGTGAAGTTAAAGTCCCTAGAGTACATTAATGTAAACTTGCAATTCATCGTTATACTTTAGGACATTCTAAAAAAATATCACTTCAGTTTTTCTCTTTAAATATAAGTTATTTTGAAAGTAAAATTTTTGATATTAGAAACAGGAAACTTTATAAAAGTTTTTAGATAATTCTAATGAAAAAATGTCTTGTTATTTTTCTTACAGAAATATTTTTATGTGAACAGTTTTTCAATTAGTGCAATTATTAGGAACCATAAGTTATTGAAATTGAGTAACATAAATATATTAAATAGCTTGGGATTAGAAATGCAAGGCAGTCTGTGAATGATGTTTTGAAATTTAAGTGAGTCATAGGTTTTACAAACACAAGTACAAAAATGGTAGCTTGAATATAAATGTATATAGAATTTTTTAATTAATATCAATAGGATAAGAGGTTTTATGTTGATGAAAAGCTGTAATGGTGTTAAAGAAGCTGAATTATGGGTAAAAAAATCTGTTATGACATAATACAATGATTAAAACTAACAAGTAGATACAGCTGCCAGTTTTGAGAAGCTTATGTTTTTAATGATCTTGTTGCTTACTAAACCAGCTGAAATTTGTTGTTGACTGTCTAGTATAAAGTCTGATTATATGTACTCTGTATGACTTGAATCCAAACATACATGTACAACTTTATGTAAAATATCTTTATCCTCTCTTTCCAGGTTACACTATCAAATACTATATAAAAAACCAGTTGGAAACAGCCTTGGCCCAAAATGTTTCAGCAGATATAAATGAGGTGTTAATAAACAAGTTAACACCAGTAACAGCATACACGTTTGAAGTTTTTGCTTGGACATATGTTGGACCTGGACCTTCCCGTATGGCAACTATACAGTCTGGTATTCCTCCAGGTATTGGTGAAATTCTATTTAGGTGTTAATAATAGTAATCAATTTATTGTCAATTTTTATTATGATTGGTAAATAACCAAAATTCTTAAAATGTATAAGCAGCGCACATATTTCAGCAACAAAATAACATAAATGACAGACAGTAGGCAAGTAATATTATCAGTAATTCTAATATCTGTAATATTCTGGTGTGCTTTCCCACAATTAAATACATATGTAAAAACTTCTTATTAAAGTAAATCAAAGTTTTGAAATAAATATTTGATATTAATTCTTTGCTACAATCGCTTTACTATAAAATGATTTATTCCACTTTAAACAGTGTAAATGAACTAGTCCATATTTGCAGTTTGATCTATAAGTGGTATTACTATGAAATATAAAATTAGAAACTAAAATGTAGGACATGAAATGTATATTTATGACTTCAGTTCAGACCTTTTGAAACTATTAGAAACTTCTTTTTGTTTTACTATAGTTCTTCCTGGACCTCCTAGCAAGCTGGCTGTTTCCAACATTGGAGCTACATCAGTTATGTTGCAATTTACACCAGGATTTGATGGGAACTCTTCTATAATTAAGTGGAGCGTTGAGGCTCAGACTGCACGTAATGAAACTTGGGGTGTAGTGTATGAAGTTGCTGACCCTCAAGCCACCACAATCACTGTGCAGAGCTTAGTACCATTTACCCAGTATCGTCTACGTCTGCTGGCCACTAATGTTGTAGGTAGAAGCAACGTTAGTGAACCAACAATGTTTTTTCAGACTCTACAAGCTCCACCATCTCATGCTCCATATAATGTTACGATTAGAGCAGTCAATGCTAATGCTCTACGTGTTCGTTGGACAGTAAGTTGTAGTAATGATTTTGTAGGCTGTGTACATGTACATACTTAGCTAACTATCAATGAGTGGTGCTATATAGATATGTATATAATGAGTATTCTTATCATAATTTGTTTGTTTCATACGTTCAGTAACTCAAAAATATTTTGATTGAATAACTTATTTAGTGATGATTGCCAGTAGTCAATGTATTGACTATATGTAACTTGTGTAGATGACGGATTCTATAATAGTTATTTGTTTCAAAGTCTGATATTTAATGCATTTTATGAAATCTTATAATGTTTTTGTATAGCCTTTACGACCTGTAGAATGGTATGGGATTCCAAGAGGCTACAATATATCATTTCGACCTCATGTGGATTCATTGTCATCATATCGTTCTGTGATACTTGAAGACCATAATGAAAATAGCCATGTACTAGTAGCACTGGAAGAGTTTACTGAATATGAAGTATACATGCAGGCATTCAATGATGTAGGAAGCAGTGAACCCAGTCCTCTAGCTGTGGAAAGAACTAGAGAATCTTGTAGGTTCTTCTGCAGCTATTTTTAAATACAAAATAATATCTTGTGTCTCCCATTGTAATGTACTTTAACCCTCCAGAGCATTTTGAAATTGCCTATTACTACAAAACTATTCATCTTACTACATATAGAAACACATAAATCTGAAAGTGTTTCATTCTATATGCAATGCTCAGAAAGGAATGTTTTTATTTTCCATATACTTGATATGGGTGACTTTTGACTTATGAATGTTGGTAGGCATGCCCTTTTCTTGCATATGTTGTCTTTTCACAATAAGTAGCTTACAACACAATTACAAATATAAAGCTGCAAGTGACATTTCTTTCAAAAAATAGAAGTGTGCATATATAGCTTTTCAATCTTTTCTCTTGTTTCGTACAAGACCAGTTTTCAGCACAAAAACTCAGAAACACCACTAATTTCTGAATCCAAAAATATTGTTAAAGTGATAATTCTATGCAGCTGTGTAAAATACATATAATATTGGCAAAACAATAAAATTTTTAGACTTAGTAAAAGTGGATAAATTCACTTTTATTTCTAGATACTTTATTACTTCATAATTCCTCTTAATTAATTCATTACACCTTCCTAATTAGAAGCTTAAACATCCTCATTGATTTTACACCACCACAATATATTTTGGGCTGCAAAGAATTGCATTTCAGATGTACTTCTGTTTGCATTGAATTGGTCCATCCAGCACAATGACATGTGACAAAGAAAATATAGATCTGAAATGCTACTTTTACTAACCTCTGATTCAAAATCTGTCAACTCCTATCAATTAAGAGGAATGTGGAGAATATTGTTTGCTCTTAAATATTATTGTAATCAGTTTTGTTAAAGTCTCATTGCTTTGGCAACTCAGTCACTTAACACCACACCACTGTAAGTTTCTGTTTGAATTTTGAATAGACTTATACATTGATGTTTTGGGCAATACTGTATTTATTGATTAATTTAAAGTAATCAGGATGATAGTATGGTGAAGGGTATGAAAGAGTAGAATTCACGTAGAAAACAGTCATTTGCTTGGTTTGAAAGAAGTTTCATAATCTTAGGTAACACATTTCTGTGAAAAGTAAAAAACCAAACAGAATATGTGTGAAGTCTGTTGTAGCTTATTCATTTACTACTGATACCTAAAATTGTAGTTTGTTTTTAAAATTAGATTTTAGAAATATATTTCTTACTTTTGAAGTCTGTTGTAGCTTATTAATATACCAATGCTACATAAGGTTTTTATTTGTTTTTTAAATTTAGGATTCTTAAATAATATTTGCTGCTTTGAAGTCTGTTGTAGCTTGTTCATATACTAATGCTACCTAAGGTTTTTATTGTTTTTTTTTTAAAAAGGATTCTTATACAATATTTTCTGTTTCTGTTTTTTTTCCATAACTATATATCATAAATTCTTCTCTTTTTTTTGTAGTATGACTACTTAGTTCCCACTCCTTTTTTTACCCGATACTCTAAAAAAGATAAAAGTACTGTATTGAATGTGCTTTAAAAAAGACTGTAGAAATAGCAAATTAATTTAAGTTATTATTCAAGGGTATGTATGTTAGTCAAACAAAATTTTTGTTTAATCATTTCCTCTTCAGCTTCTGTTCAAGATATTGTTTTTTCATGTGTATTCTGTTTAATAACATAGAATGAAAATTTTCAATAAAATAACCATAAATTCAAAGCTTGAGTATTGCATCATGGGTGAATAGCTTTTCAGTTTTAGTTTTAACAATCTGAGGCACCAATTCTATGTCTGGGGGCATAAGGATTGAATATATGGCTTAAACTAATAAATTGAATCAAGAATTTGTATTTATATCCACAATCTATTTCACACACAACTTTCTTTACAACTGCTTTATTTCACACCTAGTTTATTCCACATTACAGAAATGGTGTTACAGTTGTTTTACTTTATTACTTTTACTACTCCCTATCTCTCTACTGTATTAATATTTATTGATACTCTTGGGTGCTTCTTGATACATCATATTAGAAGTTCTTTCTCCTTCCTGGGCAAAAATAGAGATTTCTTGGTCATCCTACTCTTGAACACCCAATATAGAATTGACCATGTGAAGAGCAAGAGGTTTTCAAATTTAACCCTGCCACTTTAAGGGTCCAACCTTATGCTTTGGTTGCCATTCTTCCGGCCCGGCATGGCCAGGTGGATAAGGCGCTCGACTCCCAATCTGAGGGTCGCGGGTTCGAATCCGCATCCCACCAAACATGCTCGCCCTTTCAGCCGTGGGGGCGTTATAATGTGACGGTCAATCCCACTATTCGTTAGTAAAAGAGTAGCCCAAGAGTTGGCGGTGGGTGGTGATGACTAGCTGCCTTCCCTCTAGTCTTACACTGCTAAATTAGGGACGGCTAGCGCAGATAGCCCTCGTGTAGCTTTGCGCGAAATTCCAAAACAAGCAAGCAAGCCATTCTTCCTGGCAAAAATGTGAATGACTGACATTTTTAATGAAAAAACTCAAACATTTCCAATAACAACTAAAAACAAATTTAAAAAAAAACTCAAAGTTTTAGGGATAAAAATTGGTCTAAGACTCTGGAGTCATTGATTAAATAAATATGATTTGCTGTGGGTGTGGCCCAGGGTGTATGGGACTGGGTAATAACCACCCTATAACATGCCCCTTGGTCCAGTGTATCATTCTACAAAGTTTTGTTGAGATTGGTCCAAAGACCACAAGGTAGTTCATGGAGGAACAACATTTTGCCACTGCAAAAGTACTTGCTTGGGGATTTCTTTGGCTAGTGCTTGATACAAATTATTTATTTAAATCTAGTAGATTAAAAGTAAAACGTATAAAGAATTATTAGGTTTATTAAAGTAATTTTTTATCTTAACTTGGTTGTATTATACCTTTAGTTTTCATGTGAGTTAATTAAATTAAAATGTATGAATTCTGCTACTTTAATATTTTTTTGTTCGCGTATTTCTAGAAAACACTTGTAGTTATATATTCTTCCATAATTTTTACCCAGTTGACAGTTTAATTTATGTCTATTTGAACTTTTATAGTCCCTAGCCAGGGACCCTCTGATGTGCAAGCCAATGTCACATCCTCGACAACAATTGTGGTAGAATGGGGAGAAGTACCTAAACCTCATCAGAATGGAATTATTGAAGGATACAAGGTAAAGTGATATACAAGAAAAGTAAGAAATTTAATCATTATTTTGTAGATTCTTTAATTTGCATGAACTAAATGTATTGTAATATTAATTTCAAATTGTTCATACAAAGTTACAGCTTTTGTCTTTTTATTAGACAGTGAAAATACTATTATTATTGACATCTTTATATCACACTTAAAATATTTAAAATTGAAGTTTGAAATAAATCTGATGAAAATATTTTGCTTCAAAAATTTTGATTGATAACATAGATGATATGTGCTTTTGGGTTGTTTATTACATACGACAAAATAAAACTTACCATTTTCTGTTTTATAATATCTTGTTTCAAATTACTCGTGATGTGGATTCTTTATGAAATAGTGTAAATGCTACTTTTTTTTAGTTTAAAGTTTACAACAAAAAAACTTCATAGTTTCTTTGTTTACTTTATTTATTTTATTTTTTTTCAGATATGTTATGGGGATATAAGTTTCACAAATTTTTTAATAGCCCTTGTATTTGCAGGTATATTACATCATAATAAATAATATTAAGTATTTAAGTAAAAAAACTATAAACCCAAGAACCTTTAGCTAACATTGCTAGTACTCTAACCATTGAGCTACCCAAGAGTACAAGCAATCCAAGTTGGTGTTCACTTATTAAGCTTCCCACCATGAGTATGATCACCATAATATGTTATGATTGGTACAAAGACCAAATCACAGAATTCTATCACAAACTTACGGTTATTTATTAGCTTCCATAAGGAAACGATAAAATAATAATATTTGGTATATTATAGATTAAAAATAAAGTTCTAACAGTTTACTTTTACAGATTTGTTTTATGTATTTTATCTCTACAAGAATGTTATAGGTCTAGAAGAAGCTTAGTAGTTTTCATTTATTTCTAGAGATATGGGAAAATAGAAAATACAGTTTTTGTTGTTTACATTGATCCAACATGTATATAATAGATCTAAAGAATCAAATTGGTTTTTTTCTTCTTCCTTCCAGGTATATTATGGATCTAGAAGTGTTCCTTTTCAGTACAAGACAATTGAAAAAAACAACACTTTTACCACAACTCTCACTCAGCTGCGAAAATACACACTATACAACATCCAAGTTCTGGCTTACACACGTGTTGGTGATGGGGCCGTCAGCATCCCACCTGTCTCGGTTCAGACACTTGAAGATGGTAAGAATGTGTGTGTGTGTGTGTGTGTGTGTATATATATATATATATATATGATGAGTTATTTTAATGTCTG